CCCAAATCCCCCAAATTCCAAATTCCCCAAATCCTAAATCCCCAAATTCCCACTCCCCTAAATCCCAAACCCCCCAAATCCCAAATCCCCCAAATCTCAAACTACCAAAAACCCAAACCTTCCAAATCCTAAATCCCCTACCAAAAAACAACCATAACCCAAATACCAATCAGCCACGTACAAATTTTCCCCGATAACTACGGTCGTAAACCTGAAACCACTGGCAACATCCCAGAGTATCCAACTTAACATCTGGACCGATAATAGCCATTTTCCTATCGGTCGAACATCGCGTAGATTAGCCACGATGACGAGGAACGTCGTTCACAATCGCGATGACGATGACGATGGTAGCTGAAGCAGCCTGCTGGTAGGCGGAAGTGGGCTTGACCTACTTCGATCGTGGCAACAAAGAAGAAGAAGAAGAAGAAGAAGAAAAAAAAAAAGAAGTCTCGACAGTTCCTCGGGGTCATGAGCCGCGGACTCGGGGAATTAAAACTTGTTCCTGTTGGTTGCCTTAGCGGGCGCCAACAAGAGTCACGTGTGCCTGGCTGCGTGATTCCCCTCGTGTACACGAGCTTCTTCTGCTTTTTGCTCCTTTAAATCCCATCTGCATTTAATTTTCTTGCTTCCTCGAACCGTGCCACCCGCCATGGTGCTTTTCAATCATTTAAATGGCTCGCAGAAAAACGACGGATCTTGCCGCTGGCGATTATGTTAGAGTTAATTGGTTGGAGGACTTAGCTTCTCTTCTGATCCTCGAATAAATTCCGGAGATTATAGGATATCACGGATGAGGTCTTGGAAAGTTATTCTTTATCTACGGTTGCATAGATTGCGTGTATTTATTGCTGGATGGTTGAATTAGGGTCGTGGGTGAAAGGCGTGTGACGGAGTAGTTTTGAATTGCGCGCCAAAATGGGGAACTTAATCTATGTGGTCACATGAATTTGTGATTGTATATTTCTTTGGGTAATGTGAAGAAGGGTATACTTCCAGAACTTTTGAAAAGTAATACAATAATTTATATAATGAGAAAAGCAATGAATAAGTGCAATTAGTGTCAACTGAAGATCGTTGAACTTTTCGGATGTGTCGCTAGAGCGTGTGACGATCGAGTTTCTCCTTTCGGTCAGTGGATACAATGTCCATTTTGATTACCATACATAAAATATTTCATTCTAATTTCACTGTTAATTTCACTGTAAATGTTTAATTTTAATGTACAATTGTGCTATGGATTTCTATGCAAAGATTAAGTGTGACACATTTTATGCAATTTCTCGAGTATTTGTTAATGGAAAATCGTTGATAGCACAACCTCTTAATCGCAAACAAAGTATATTAAACTACAGTCGTTCTGAAACAAAACAAGTTTCATTCGACCCATTTTTCTAATCGATAGAGATAATTTATAGTGAGCTACTATAATTATACTTGGCAAAACTTAACATAGAAAATTACACCGTACTTCATAGATAATCATAAAATATATCTTTCATAAAAAAGTGTAACATTTTAAAACCCCTCGACGAGCAAATGGTTAATTAAAACTTCTCGTACGAACAAATATGGTTAATTAAAAATTTTTTCCGTGTACCATTGCACAAAGTGTGCGGAGTAGAATTGTATTATACAATTCAGCGAAGAAATAGTAACGAAATAAAATTGAAGAATTGATGGATTCAGTGTTAAAAGTACACAAACGGCCTGAAATATTGTGTAATGTAATTTACGGGAAGCTTTTAAACATTTGAACGTAATTATGAATGAATATGAAAAGGTTCTCTGATACTTTTTACGCTCTTTCTTTTTCGACTCTGTTACTTTCGCAGCTTTTCCTGGGAGTTACACGCACAGCGAGCAAAGGTAATTTGTATCTTTGATGTACGTGCATTTCGATGCTTTTTCATTTTATTTCGCTGCCTTTGCAGATCGTCAACGATTGAATTAATTTGAAACTGGTATTTCTTAAATTGTGAATAAAAAATTAAGAGTCTTGAGAAATTAAAATGTAGAAGAAAACAACTCGTGACTTTTATTAAATGGTCAAAGACTAAGTTTTATAATTAATTGTGTAACGCACTAGTTACTGGAATTTTTCAATTTATGTATTAATTAGCAAAACAACATTTTTATATTTTCTCTAAAAAAAAAAATTAGGATAATCTTGAGAGGTTAGGTCCTACTTAAGAGGTCAGGTTATGTAAAAGAATATAATATTTAATTTGTTCTTTAAAGAATTAGGTAAGGAAATTGTAAAATTGTTATTAGAAGTGTAACTTCTTTTTGTATAAAATTTCTATCGGTCTTTCAAAGCACGAGTTGTTTTTACACCTAGAATATTCGTTGCGTGGGTGATAGCTATTTTTCGAACGTCAGTATCTGAGGGAAAGAATACGATGACCTAGATAACCCACTAGCTAAACCTGTTCGTGAAAGATCTTTCATTTTTGTATCAAAGGCTCTACTGCTATTGCAAACTGAAATGTTTAAAAATGAGAAGCAATTTACTGAAATATCGCGTGAAAGTCGCTACTTCTTAACGTAGAATTTTCTGCAAATAACCACGAGTGAATAATTGTAAATAACATAACTGTAAATGATAAATGACAGAACAGTGAATGATAATAAATAACTAAATTGTAAAAAAAAATAAGTAACAAAATTAATTTTTTGTAACTCGTGTTAGTACATTTTTTTCATAATTATTATTTAAATACACGTACTTTAAAAACAGAAGTGGAAATTTAATTAAAGAATAACACGCAGACCTTTGAACTCTCGTGAAAATTCATTTCTACTAATTTCAAAAAACTGTCAAGCACAAATTGTGTCGCAGTTACAGAACTAATTAAGAAACCTTTTTTCGAAAACTGCGGGAGTACTCGACGATTCCATTAATTAAAATTTGTTTTAAAACTTATTTCTGATAATCTGAAAAATTACCAAGGAACCTTTTGATTCATTTAAATCTGAACGACGTTAGAGTTCCAGACAATTAGAGAAAGGAACTTTAATAAAATTAAACGAAGTTTAATTTGAAACTAAGTTTCGACTCTGTTCGATCGCAGGAGCTTTTAATATCTCGAGATACGAAAATCTAATTTAAAATTCATTTTTAGTAATCTTGAAAATTGCCGAGTGCAAATCCTGTTGAAAACAAGTTACCGTTTGAGAATGTCTTACAGACATGAAGACCCTTTCGACTATTTTCAATCAGAGACGTTCTATGGATATTCTACTAAGCATCGACAACAAGACGAAAGGAATACAGTGAAACAGAGATGGCTAACGATAAGTTTCTTCCGAAGAGAAAAGTTATTATCACTTCACGAATGGACGATCGTTCAATTACCTTCTTCTTCGTCTCTTCAGTTCCACGCCATTCGCGCAACAGAACGTACATCTAGTCGCTTTTTGTGAAGCATTCAAGACGTACAGGGTGTCTCAAGAACACAGTTCAACCCAGAAACCATAGATCATACTTGCAAAAACTGGAGACTCTTTTGCAATACGTGGATTCCTTTTGAGATATAACTGCAAATTGCAATTGTATCAGCTACACCCAGTTTTGAGTAAATTCATATAAAAAATGCTAAGTAATATTCAATCCTCGAAGAGGTTATCGAAAAGTTTATATTACTTTTCCTGCTAGTCATGCTTACTATACCAGTTTCTCGTGTATATTTTAATCGTTAAATAGATTACGTTAGACTCAGAGAAAGTGCAGATAAATATGAGTCAGCATCAGTATGTTAACAAACTCATTATCGAGTCATTATGTCTCATCTTCTTCATTCACAAAAATAAGAAGTCTAATTCTTTATCTTGCCGAAGATAAAAAGTAGCTGAGACACGCTGAGTGACGTTTTAATGAAATATTGCAGTCATAAAATACGATGTCATAAGGTTTTAATTGTTTCACTTAGGGTGATCCGTTTAACTAATACACGCGAATGTTGCCCAAAAGTAATGCTTATCTCAAGTACTTCGAAGAAAAATTAATGCGTTAATACGTTTGTTCCTGTGTGTCACAGGTACCTGGTATACCTTCATCAAAGTCATGACTTTTTATCAAATATTAGCTCATTTAGTGGCCTGACATTTTAGCCAGATTTATGCTATTATATTTTGGATTTGAAGGTCTGAAAATTTGGAAGATTGTAATGCTTGAACTGTGTTAAATGGTAGATACATTAAAGTTACAGAATTTTGAAGTCCTAAGGGACGTTCAGTGTTCCAAACTTAAAAATTTCTGTACTATCAAAGTCTCAAGGTTCTAACACCCCAAACTTTCAATGTTCCAAATTTTTAAATTCTCCAAACCTCAAACTTGCAAATTTTTAAAGTCTCAAATTATCCGAAGTCCCAAAGTATCAAACTCCTAATGATTCAAACTCGTCAAACCCCAAACTTTCAAAATATTCCTAAAGAGTCATAGACCCAAGGTCCTAAATTCCTAATGTCTCAAATATCCAAAGCTTCAGATTCCTAATGTTCTAAACTCCCCATTCCCAAACTCCGGAAATCACCGATTAAAAATTTTGTATCAGCTACGCCCAGTTTCGAGTAAATTCATATAAAAAATGCTTAGTAATATTAAATCCTCGAAGAGGTATTTATCGAAAAGTTTATTGGAACAAGATTCCGAGAAGATGACATAAAATCAGTACTACTACACAACCGAGTATTTGCACAGACGAAAAAAAGACTCACGAGATCTGAAATGTCATAACCGATTATAAATAAGCGGTAGGAAATGTGGAACATATTTCATTCTGCAGTCTGCTACCAACCACGATCCTACACTTATCAGCCGTGATAATAACATGGCTGACTATTTTCAACTGTTTAGCGCGTTTGTCGTGGTATTTCTCGCTCTGTATTATTATTTCACATCGACTTTCGATTTCTGGAAGAACCGAGGTGTACCTGGACCACGACCGATACCTGTATTCGGCAATGCCAAAGATGTCGTGCTCGGAAGAGAGACGTTACAAATATATATTACACGCCTTTACAGGAAATATAAGGATGAGCCTATGTTTGGGATATTCGTGAGAGGATCACCTAATCTTGTCTTGTGCGACCTGGATCTTATTAAGGATGTCTTAATCAAGGACTTTACGATGTTCGAAGATCGAGGAACTACCGTGACCGAAAGAGTAAGTTGACGTGCTTATTGTGAGACGTGATGTAGGTATTTTTTGTCAAGGATAACTGTAGAGATCGTGAATTCGAGATTAGTGTTCAGATATGAGGTCAACGACCAGTGTGTGCTTTTAAAGGACTAGGTATCCTTGTTTTCTCACTCTCTCTTTGGTGACGCCAGTTAGGGATACAAAATGGCTGCTCGCGCAACTGTCAGCTGTTCGTTTCTGATTTCTTTTCGCAAGCAAAATCTATGCTTTTCGGGTTACAAGTATTTTTGAGAAATCCTATATATTTTTAATAAGATTGAAACTAGTTCTCTGGTTCAGCAGTTATATAATTTTATTTTAAGCACCGAAAGCAAGTTTCTTAGAAACGTAAAGTGAACCTTACGTTGATTATTTCAGTATACGATCAATTTCAGATTCAATCTCTGACTATTTATACATACTCATGCTATTTTAAAGAAAGAATACCTTTTATTTGAATTCCATGGACACTGGCTATCCTTTCGTCTCGTCTAGGATTCTGAAACATGATAACAAAGTGATCGATTAGGCAATTTAGACGAGAGATTAAGCGAGCGTAAAAAAGTATATCTGGTTACACGAGGTCATATTTTAGCTAGTATAAACAATGGAATTCATTATAAGGTTTTATTTTACCGCAGTGTTTATGTTATAAAGAAACAGAGTAAACATACTCTTTTTTTATACAATATCGTCTATAAAATTAATTGTTAAACGAGACGATCACGGATAGATGACGATAAATTTCCATGGGCAACTGGTTAAAGCTTCTACATAGTTCGATTAACACTTTACCACGTTACTCATGTGTGAATAGTGCACGAATCACTATAGCAAAATTCCATTAGCCTTTTGTGGACGGCGATCCTACCTATTTGATTGGAAACTGTTTTATCCGTTATTTGGAAGTATAATTAATGCAATTAAGTATTTTGAAAATGATATACTGTAATGAACCTAACCATTATTATTATTATTTATTTTTCATTGTTTCACTGTAATTATTCTTCAAATGTAATCAGTAGTTTCGTTGTTAAAATTTCAATCCTAATTTACCTTTATTAGAACTACGTGCAATTGGAGTATTATCAGAATATGTACTGAAATTATTATAATTATAATTGGGACTTTATCGTAATTAATTTCTGCTTAATTGCGGCTTTCGTTATTAGAGGAAAACTAGAATTAGAACTTTCATTATTAGAATTGTTAGGACTACACCCGGGACTTCCCTTATTAAAATAATAAGTGGTGCTTTCGTCGTTAAGATATTACGATTACCTGCACTTTCGTTATTAGAGCAAGTCCCTTGATATTAAAATTTTCATTATTCCACATTCTTAGAAATATCAAATTTTCAAATGTGGGATTTGGAAAATTTCCAAATAGAAAATTGAAAAACTGAAATTGAAATGTTGGAAGACTTAATAATGCACATGCATGAAACTTTCAAAATTCACAAATTTAAATAACTTGAGAACTTCAAAATTTACAAACTCTGTCAAAACTTTCAACACTTAAAAATCTGAAAATTCCAGAACTCCCAAACTGAAGTACACAAAAATTCAGCATGAAACTTGTATAAATTCAAAAGCAGAAAGTTTGAGAGTCAACAAAACCATAAAACCTAGCAACCTAAATCCCCAAACCCCCAACTAATCCCCCTACATTGCACCCCAAAAATCTGACACACAACTGGCCCCAAAAAATTCTCGAAATCGATGCAATCGATCGCAACAATTCCATCAAATTTCATTGAATCATCTCTTTGAGTAGCGTCTCGATTACGGCACGCGTCATAAATCACCGCTGTAACACGTAGCTAAACGTTCTCCGTAGACAGAATGCACACACGGTAGGAATGGTTCTTCAACTTGTTTTTTTTTCCAAGCGAGTTTCGTGTTCTTGCTCGACGAAAGAGCCCATTTGTTATTCTCAATGCCGCACGAAATCGTGGACGTAACACGCGTTACGCTTCTACGCGGCGACGCAAGAACACGTCCATTATTTTCCGTTCAGATGCGCGGCCCGGAATAGATAAGAAGACGGCAGGACAAAACGAAAACGCCGGCTGACGTGTAAATTTTAAGTACATCCCACCCTAAAGTGGATTCAAACTTATCTTTCAACGTTCCAGGACCCATCCCTTCGTACTTTCTTCTTTTTCTCGGGATCTTCGTTTTGGCTTTCCTGTACAAGTGTGGAGGAGGAGGGGAAATCAAAGGGGGAGACATTTTTGAGGGCATTTTTTAATGCAAAGGATTTGTATTGGGGATGTTATCTGATGAGGGGAGGAGTTAGGGTTTTTGTCAAGTTAGGGTTTTGGGTGGAAAAGATTAATGTGGGGATGAGGTTATTTCCTAATTCCCGAATTTCCCAATTCCATAATTTCCCAATTCCATAATTTCCCAATTTCCAAATTTCTCAATTTCCAAATTTCCCAATTCCCAAATTTCTCAATTCCATAATTTCTCAATTTCCAAATTTCCCAATTCCATATTTTCCCAATTCCCACATTCCCCAATTCCATAATTTCCCAATTCTCACATTCCCCAATTTCCACATCCCCCAATTCCAAAATTCCCCAATTCCCACATCCCCCAATTCCAAAATTCCCCAATTCCCACATTCCCCAATTCCCATATCCCCCAATTCCAAAATTCCCCAATTCCCACATTCTCCAATTCCATAATT